CGGATATTATTAGAATCATGATTCTGTTTGATAACACTCAAATTCATTGAATCGGTTGATTCTGTTGATAATATGAAATTCTGGTTAAAATGGCTAGATTAGTTGATCTGTTGATTTATGAAAAATTATATTTAAAACATTTATTATTAATAAAATGAAGAAAAAATGATTTGAAAAAATAGCTGAAATGGTATTCCACAATAATTTAAGTCAATTCAGCCAAAAAAGTTGTTGGAAAAATGTGTTAAAAATTGCATGAAATGGTAATTTTAGGGCAATATTTTGAGTGAGATCCACTTCCGATTTGGGTCGGGTTCAAGCGGTTTCGGATTGTCCTTGTTAAGGACTACAATTTGATATATTATACGCTCAAAACGGATTATGAATGAATGAGAAATTGATTCTCGAAATTCACTCGTTGAAACGGAAAAACTGGAAAAAGATGAGTTTCTAGTGTGGTTTTTTGCCACACCGGAAAACTCAAGGGATTTTGAACCCCTTATAAAGGGAAACATCTTTTAAGGAGTTAAGATTCTTAGGTGGAAAGGCTCTCTTTGTGCGCATAGGAGGGGGGTGCGAATCAAATCACGAAAACGGAGAAGAAAAACCGCGACTTGCGTGCGCAGGCAACCTGCAGACACGAATGTCGTCTAAAAATCTATCTTTCAATGATATGGTTTAATTTTTGCTTATGTTTTTAGTTTTACAGAAACACAACAGAACCCTTCTGTTCTGTACGCACCAGAAGAGCAGTTCTGGTGGATTTCGAGAACCAGAAGGGCAGAGGGCAGTTCTGGTGGATTCAGAACTAGAACACCCCTAGCTGAACGGTTCTCAGATAAATTCACCTCCAACTCTCCGAAAATTCCTTAGTGTTCACACTTTGTTCTTGTTCGCCGGAACTTTCGCTTTTGTGTTCAAACGATCGTTTGTTACCCACCGTATCCTGGGAAACGGTCATTGCAACGCTCCTTGCACCGTGGGAGGCAACAAATACGTTTTAAGGATATCGTGCGTAGCACGAGCTCTGGCTATTTTATGATTTTCTTTAGTCATTTAATTAATTTTTCTTTGTTTTTTGAAACACGCCTAACAAAAGTAACTCTAACCTAACTTATTTTGACTGTTACACAATTTAGCACACAAAATAAAAAATACGTCTTTGGTTAAAAATTGTTGGAGATAATATTTTTATTATTTAAATATTATTTCCATTACGAGGCACGTGAGTGTCTAGATTCATCCACCAAAGAGATAGTGCAGCCGCTAAGGATTTATGTTGTATTGATTAATGTTTATCATGTACTTGTTTCCTACTTTTTAGGATGTATAGCGCATTAGTTGTTGTATCTCTTTACGTAACTTAAATGTATATATAATGCATGGCATCGGCTGAGATGACCAGACTTCAAATACAAAAATATTACTTCCATTTTAAATTTATTTTGGTATCAGAGCAGGCGACCCGCGCTGCATCGTTCACGACTTTTGCTAAACAACATGGCCGGTGATGCAGCTGGCAGCGGTTTTGACGGAATCCGACGACGCCGAATCAATGACCCATCTTCCCCATACCACTTGTCAAGCTTGGATTTTCCGGGTATGAACATTTGTGGATTTGTTCTCAAGGGTGAGTATAATTATCGGGAATGGGCAACGACAATGAAGAACGCCTTCCGTGCAAAATGGAAATGGGGTTTTCTGGACGGAAGCATCAAGCGACCTACGACTGACGAGGAGCATATCGAGGATTGGGTGAGTGTTAATTCCATGTTGGTGGGTTGGATCATGACCGCAACATATTCGCCTCTCAGATCCAATCTTACCTACATGGATAGCGCCTACGATCTATGGGAAGATTTGAAGGTGCGGTTTGAAGTGGGCGATGCTATGCGCACTTATGAACTCAAAGACTTGATTCGTGGTTGCCGGCAGAACGGACAACCAATAACGACATACTTTGGACGGCTTAAGGCGTTATGGGATGATTATGATGGAGTTCGTAACATTCCTCAATGCACTTGTAATGGATGTACATGTGACATGAAAAAACTGTTTTTGAAACACATCGAAACAGAAAAGACGCACGATTTTCTGCTTGGGCTAGACCATGATAGCTTTGGTACACTACGTTCAAACATTCTTAGCAATATGGACGAGGTGTCATCCCTTGCCAAGGTATATCATATGGTGACCCAAGAAGAAAGGCATCAAAATTTGGTGCGTGGACGTGAAGAAAAGCCTGAGGCAGTCGCGTTTGCTACTCGCACCGGGTCAATTGCTGGAGCACGAGATGAAAGAGCGAAGTGCACATACTGCAACAAATCAGGCCATGAGGTCGAAAACTGTTTCCGCCGAACCGGTAAGTATCCAGAATGGTGGTTTGACAATCCCGGGAGAGGACGTGGTGGACGGAATCGTGGCGGACAAGGCAAAGGTCGTGGCCGAGCTCCGGGACATGCCATGCATGTGGGAGAATTGCGTGAAGAGGATGTCGCCTAGCACACTCCACGAGAATTCACCATGCATAAACCAGCGTTCACAGACGAGCAGTGGAAGGGGTTCTTGAAATTGATGGAAAATTGCAAAGCCTCCACCTCGGATGAAAAATTGACAGGTATGAAAAATAAATATGTTTGGCTCCTGGACTCTGGAGCGTCGTACCATATGACATGTAATTCACAATTATTGAGGACATAGACAAAATTGGCTCCTGTTCTAGTGATGTTGCCCAATGGTGATGTTGCCCATGCTACGATCATGGGAGATGTTTGGTTGAGCTCACGGGTGTAATTGAAAAATGTTTTATTGGTGGATGGTTTGCAATGAAATTTAATATCATTGGCACAACTTATAGATGATCGGAAATGTGATGTAGTTTTTACTAATGATATATGTGTTATACACGACCTACCTACGAAGATGCCAATTGGAGTGGGTGAACGACGCGGGAGAGTTTATTTTTTCCGGGGGCTTGATCAAGAACATGCATACACACTTGCGGCGTCGGGTTCCGGTGACTTGTGGCATTCTCTGTTGGGCCATCCTTTAGTGAAAGTTTTACGTATGATTGATTGTTTGAATAAGACATTGTTTCAGTCTCTTTCGAATAAAATTTGTGATGCTTGTTTACGGGGTAAACAAACTCGTGATGTTTTTCCTATTAGTAGTGCACGTGCTGTAGAACCATTTGAATTAATTCATTGTGATATTTGGGGTCCATACAGAGTTTCTGCTTCTTGTGGTGCACGTTATTTTTTGACAATAGTTGATGATTACTCTAGAGCGGTCTGGGTGCATTTGATGAAAGATAAAAGTGAAATTAAAAATATTCTTAAACATTTTTTTGCCATGACCAGCCGCCAATTTAATAAAATGGTGAAGATAGTCCGTAGCGACAACGGGAAGGAATTTCACAGTTTGAAAAAATTATTATTTGGATAATGGTGTGATTTTTCAAACCTCGTGTGTCTACACCCCGCAACAAAACGGTAGGGTAGAACGTAAACATCGACATATATTGAAAATGGCACGAACACTCCGTTTTCACGCCAATCTCCCTATTGACTTTTGGGGTGAATGCATGTTGACCGCATGGTATCTCATCAATCGACTTCCTTCCCCGGTAATTGACAATAAAAGTCCACATGAATTATTATATCACAAGGCACCTTTGTATGATCAACTTCGTGTGTTTGGATGTTTATGCTATGCGCACAACAAAAATGTTTCTGGTGATAAATTTGCACCTAGGGGCGTTAGATGTGTTTTTCTGGGATATGCTTATGGCCAAAAGGGTTGGAAGGTTTTTGATTTGGATAATCGTCGCCATTTTGTTTCACGTGATGTACGATTTATTGAAACTAAATTTCCTTTTGCCCAAGAAGACAATGCTTTTGATATTACTACGTTGCATAATTCACATGATCTGAGCATGGACCAGGCGCTGGAACACCATCTACGTATGACTCATCCGGATGACTCATCAGACACGCATGAATCACCTTCCACGCGACAGGCAGTCAACTCTTCCGTTGAGCATGACAATGTTCTACGTGAAGGCATGCAATCACTGGAGGAATTGCATGCACGTGATTCTAATTCAGGGAGTACCTCACGAAGCATGCAAGCAACACATGAATCCGGTCCCACCATAACTGAGCACACTAATTACCTACTGCTCCTGTGACACCGCACCCGAACGTCCTCGAAAATTCAATTTAAAATTCAAGTTATGTATTGAATTTCCGATTTACCAAACAATTGTAAAACAATTTATGTTTTACGTAGTGCATGATGGAATATTGTATTGTTCAGACTCGCATATTAGTGTCGGGTTTTGAAAATACTTATTTGGGCCTTATTAATGAATATAAGAGCCCAACATTACCTAAATAATGTTACTTAACCTTTCAAGACAAATTGAGGAAGGTCGGGCGGCCCAAACCTTATTTTGGGCCCAACCTGCTAAAAATAGCAAGTATTCGAGAATGGCGTCCTAGACCCACTCGGGGGTGACCCACACGGATAGTAACCCAATAATATGTATGAAAAATGTCAAAATAAGTGATAGAATGATTAGTGAAGAATACAAATGCCTATAGCCCCATCTTTGACATTATTGAGCTAAATAATGGGAGTAGGATTTTTCTTCTATGATACCCATCAAGTAAATTATTGAGATGAACCTACACATATTGGAGACCAATAATGTGATGAAGGAAGTTCACTTGTTCTAAATAAATTAGGATGAGTACAAAAAGGCATCTTTGACCAAAGATAAAACAATAGGACCCATCTTCCCATTTTTTTTGGAAGTATTAATAGATATTTTGGACCTCAATTTGATTGAGATCAATTGCGAAGCATTCCATGTGGCTTGAGTACCTGCAAGACAAGGAAAATAGGTGAGAAGACTCACCTTGGCCGCACCACATGGAGAAGCACTGCCCATGACACAATTGGAATCAAATTTTGGGGCCACCACCACTGTTTTCGCACAAAAATCGAGCTCTGAGAGTGCTGAAGCTGGTTGGTAAATATCTCGAGTTATACCAATCCAAATAAGGCGTGTGAGATACCAAAAGAAAGCTCTCAAGACGAGGAATCCGTGAAGGTCTGGTTTGCATCAATCGGAGTAGTGGAAGGATTCCAAATCGTCCGATCAAAACACAACCTCGCAGAAACGGATCTACTCTTCTAAAGTGAGTTGTTAACCTCAAAACCTTTCCTTTCATTTTCCAAATGATATGAACGATTGGTGGAACTATTATACACTAATCCAAGTGTATAATAGGTCCTTAAAAAGTTATTATTATTTATGTAAAGGTTAGATGCTAACCTAGAGCAAATCTTGGAAAACTAGGAAACGAGTTAGCCGGAAAACACCCATTCTAGGGGCTGTTTTCGTACCAACGTTTAAAGGTTGAACTAGCACTTTGAGGAGGCTGTTTAACACTCAATTCCAAGCAAGGAATCAGTTCTCAAACCTTCTTGGCCGAGGCTTTGGTCATTGGATTGAGAAGGAAAGTTTTAAAGCTCATTTGAGGTGAGGACCGACATCTAGTTGCTTACAACTTGTAGGTTATGCATGAGATTACCTAAATGCTTAAATCATGTTTTTGTGAATAAATATGCTTGAACATGATATGAATGATAAGTAATGGACTTGATCATGAATTGAAACCATATTGATGAATATGGAGTCATGTGAGATAGAAGTATGCTAATATGGTAAATTGACTTTTCCAACTCATGTATGAATGTTATGTGTATGTAAATGTATAATTGCATGATGATGCTTAACACACGGGAGGCTGCCACATATCTATTGATATGGAGGGGCTACCATTAATGATAAATGAGTTGTAGGAATAATCTTAATAGTATTGTGATGCTAGTTAAGGATTGCCCTAAATGTGTTAGAATCAAACTCAACGTTTGAGGTTGTTTGTGATGAACTTGAATGAGATTCAAGTGTCAATTGTGAAATCATGGAGTAGGAGATCTATGGTGTGACTTTATGAAGTAGGAGATCTATGGTGTGATTTTATGAAGTAGGAGATCTATGATATGATTACATGAAGTAGGAGATCTATGATGCGAGTGCATGATGATGTACTCGAGCCGAACTCTAGAAATGAGAAGTTATATTAGGGTTGGACCCTATGTATGTCGTGACCATTAGTCACGGGGTTTGGGAAATGTTTTTGTGATAAACATGGGCCTTTGAGCCGACTACTTGACTTTATATAAAGTAAGTATATATTTTGAAGGGGTAAATTTTGGGATTACAGGCTAAACTATATTATCACCTTATTTGAGGGTCTTGTGTGTGAAATACTTGTTGTATATCTATTAGATGCCTGCCACACCAGTACTTTATAGCCGTATAGAGTACCGACCCCTTCGGGGGCGTCCCACCACCATTTCAGGTTGAGGCTAGAGCTTGCATCCTGTGCTCGTCGATCGAGTGATTCCTAGGAGAGAAGACTTGGTTCGTGCTTCCTCCATTCCATTTGAAACATTAATAAATTTGCTCATGGATATTTTACTATAGAGCCTGCGTGCTCATGAAATGCCTTGTGTGGCCTTCTTGTTTTAAACAATGTTTTCCGCTGCGTTATGAATTACTTATTATGTTTGTTTATGGATGTATACGTGTGAATGATATTCAAGACGCCTTGTATAATATGAATGTGTTGGACTAGGGTTGACTATTCGTATTGTACGGCGGATTGTCGACGTGTCCGGGGAGGTCCGGGGCGTGACAGCTCCCCCAACTGGTCGCGGACTTCGTCAACGTAAGGCTCCCATCTGGCATCACAATTACGATGTTCAAATAAACACCGTCAAAATAAACTCTCCCCCCGCCGCTCGGCCATCCTCGTCGGTTGATTCAGGTAACCATTATTCCATATCTCATTATGTAAATTATAATCATTTTTCTGTATCGCATCGTGCGTTTCTTGCAGCGATTTCTGCTCATAAGGTGCCCTCCAATTTTCACGAAGTAGTCCATCATCCAGAATGGAGAGCAGCCATGCAACGAGAAATACAAGCTTTGGAACGTACGGGCACTTGGCGAATCCAAGCCTTGCCTCATGGCAAGAAGGCTATATTCTACAAATGGGTCTACAAGATCAAGTACAAATGTGACGGGACGGTTGATCGATACAAGGCCCGGCTCATAGTATGTGGCAACAAACAGGTGTAGGGAATCGATTATACAGAGACTTTTGCTCCGGTTGCTAAAATGGTGACCATACGCACCATTTTGGCCGTGGCTGCTTCTCGGCACTGGGAGTTGCACCAAATGGACGTGGATAATGCTTTCCTGCATGGGGACCTTCATGAAGAGGTGTACATGCATCTCCCACCTGGCTACTCATCTTCCACTCCGGGAAAGGTGTGTCGTTTGCTTCGGTCCTTGTACGGGCTCCGGCAGGCACCAAGGTGTTGGTTTTCTAAGTTGACGACTTCTCTTCGAGCCTATGGTTTTTACCAATCCCATGCAGATTACTCTTTATTTACACTCCGCAGAGACAGTCGTATTTTGTGTGTCTTGATTTATGTTGATGACCTTTTGATTACAGGAAATGATCATGGCATGATAGTTGACTTTAAGAGTTATTTGGCTCGTTCATTTCCTGTTAAGGATCTCGGTCTCATGAAATATTTTTTGGGTATTGAGGTTGCCCGTAATCCTACTGGTATTTTTTGTGTCAACGCAAATATGTGTTGGATATACTTGGCGAAACCGGTTTACTTGGCGCTAAACCCGTTACATTTCCTATGGTTCAAAATCATGGGTAACAGTCTGACACTGGGCCATATTATTCTAATCCTGAGCAATATCGGCGACTGGTTGGGAAACTTATTTATCTTACATTAACTCACCCTGATATTAGCTACTCCATTCATATTCTTTCTCAGTTTATGCAGAATTCGTGCATGGCTCACTGGGAGGCGGTAGTACGTGTACTGCGATATCTCAAAGGTCATCCTGGTCAAGGAATATTACTTCGGGATGATTCCATGCTTACTTTAACCGGGTTTTGTGATTCTGACTAGGCCAGTTGTTCTCTTACGCGGCGTTCCGTAACTGGGTATTTTGTTACTCTTGGAGGATCTCCTATTTCTTGGAGAACAAAGAAGCAGACTATAGTTTCCCGTTCTTCTGCTGAAGCCGAATACCGTTCTATGGCCACTTTGACGTGTGAACTTATTTGGTTAAAAGGTTTACTTCGTTCTTTAGGTGTCATGTATTCTTCTCTTGTCAAGTTATTTTGTGACAATAAAGCTGCTATTCATATTGCCTCAAATCCGGTCTATCATGAAAGGATCAAGCACATTGAACCTGACTGTCACTTTATTCGGGATCATATTCAGTCTGGCACTATTTCTCCTGTTTATGAATCTACCACAGAGCAACTGGCTGATTTGCTCACTAAAGCTCTTGTGGCACAACAATTTTCTTACCTGCTAGCCAAGATGGGCATTTGTGATCCCCATGCTCCATCTCGAGGGGGAGTGTTGGAGATAATATTTTTATTATTTAAATATTATTTCCATTATGAGGCACGTGAATGTCTAGATTCATCCATCGAAGAGATAGTGCAGCCGCTAAGGATTTCTGTTGTATTGATTAATATTTATCATGTACTTGTTTCCTACTTTTTAGGATGTATAGCGCAATAGTTGTTGTATCTCTTTACGTAACTTAAATGTATATATAATGCATGGCATCGGCTGAGATGACCAGACTTCGAATACAAAAATATTACTTCCGTTTTAAATTTATTTAAAATATGAGAGATAAAATCGATAAGCCGAAAAATAAGACCAAACGGCTTGCCTATGAAGATAATCTGAGGCCACAACCCCTTTGATTGAGAATATTGCTACCGTTGGTTCTACAGGCCGCCAAAAGGCTACTGAGCATCCTGGCACCTATGCTATTGATGTCTTGGAAACTAATTTTCCAGTTTCTAACCCAACTCAATTAGCCCCTAGACAAGACCCTATTGATTACCCGATTGAAAGCCCCGGCCTTACTTGTTCCCTTCTTACTGCCAGACCTTTAAAGGCCCAGGCAGATTCTGTCAAAGATGTTACTTCCCTTGATAATGCTAAACCCTTAGAGGCTGAGGCGGTGGTAACAGACCACTACAGGGCCACTTTTGATGCTGCTCAAGGAGTCTGTGAGCCTAATTGTGCTAAGAATGCCACTGTTCCCCCACCAGTGGCTTTGCCTTACGATGAATGCCCGATGGCCACTCTTCTCGAGGCGGTGACCGAGGAAGTTCATCACCACGTTACCGATGATGATGTGAATGATACATTTGTTGCCCAAAAAGGAAATGATGAGATGCTCTTTGATCCAACACTTGACTATGCAGTTACTACGCTTGTCCCAAACATGTCCGGTGATGAAATTATTTCCGAGGACATCCAAATGAAAACTTTTTCTATTTCAGGTCATACAAATAATCTTACAATCGATGACGAAAACCTTAAAGAATTTACACAGGTATAACGAAGAAGAAGCAAAACCTCATTCTAAAAAATCCCACCAAACGAAGCCACATAAGAAGTTCAACTATACAACGAGGGGTGGGATACACATCTCATCCCATGATCACTCGTAGCCATTCAAAAAAACCTCAGAACGAAACAGACTACTTTCTCTACCGAGCAGATGAGAGGTTTGACTCACCGCAAAAATTGGCAGCAGCTCTACAGCGTTTCAAGTTATCTCGTCCAGAGGAAACAACATACATGCCTTATCTCAAGAGGGCAATCGGATTTCACAACAAATACAACAGATCAATTGCTGCTTCACTGGGGATCCCATCAAAAAATTTCAACCGATGATGTTTTTATTTTTTCCCATTTCTCTAATTTGTCTTGTTCTTTCGGTTTCAAATGTAACCTCAAATTTCTTGTACCCAAATCTTTATTTTAATAAATTAGGGAGGTGTTCTCCGACACCTTCCCCACCTAGTGTGGATTGAACCAGAAAAAAGACCACTAAACGGCTCTAAATTATTATTATTATTTTTTTGCGAGGCAAACGGCTCAAAAGTCTAAATTATGAACAAACTAAAAAACTATTTACTTTGTTGCGGTTCCCAGTAACACGTTTTCTAACTTTTTGGTACATACGAAAAGATGTTTTGTATTATTATTCATATAATTTATTATACCAAAATACTCCGTATATCATAGTCTATAAAATTGTAAAACATAAGCTGAATACTGACATCAATCTATAAAATTATTGGGCACACAACATTTTTGCACCCCGCGTTATAATTATTAGGCTTCTAGCTATATGCCTATATCTGAAGGGAAAATATGTAGTTCTTTTTTAATGAAAATGAAATAAAAACGACTATGTAGATTTTTTTGACAATTTCTTATTACTATATACTCGTATGTAATACAAATTACATGAATTTATAGATAAAAGTTACATGAAATAATACTTTGCAAAAGTGTAAAAGAAGAGTCCAAGTTTGCGGGTGACGGCAATTGAGGGAGGAGGTCGAGGCGGTGATAGTAGTCATGGACTGGACCCTGTCCGGTTCCGGTTCGAGCGTAGGCCCGGGTGGGCCTTTATTTTTGAGAGTGTAGCCCGTAACCGGTCTCGGTGTTGACCGGTACCGGTTCTGGGTGTTGATCGGTTCCGGTTCCGGGTCATTTTGTTTTTGCTTGTTTCCTAATTAATTCTAGAAGTGCTGCATATAAAAAAAATCAAAGTGCATTTATTTGAAATATGAACTACAATTGAGAATTGAGAAAAAAATACAATATAAAATACATTTTCTAATAAATAATAATATAATATAATAATCAATCGGAATCTCCGCCACCGTCGGTTGTTGTTTCTTCCATAAAGTGTTGTGAGTGGGCCGTGGGGTGAATGAGTGATACTTAGTTCTTGAGTTGCTAGCAATCGTGGTAGCAAACAAGCGTCTCTATAGACTTTGCTTCCATTACTAGAAAAATGGTCTATAGTGACACTAAATAAGTGTCACAAAAAGTTTTTCTGACACTAGAAAAGTGTTATAGAAGGTCGGGAATTATGACACTAAATTAGTGTCACAGAGAAAGTGTCACTAATTTATGACACTTTTATATCATGAAGCTTAGCGACAATAAACCTCCTCCTCCCCCTCCCCCTCCCCGCCCCCGCCCCGGCCTCCGGCCCCCCCCTCCCCTGCCCCCCTCCCCTGCCTCTACGGCAGAGGTTGCCTCTAAACGTAGAGATGGGTCACGTTGAGTGTGAAAATGGTCTATTTTGTCTCGTGCAGATAATTCTTTTAAAAGGAAATAGTTTATTCAATGTTGGTTTTAAGGAATGTATGATTTATAGGTCTAGCTTCAACCTATTAAAACAATTCCGAATAATAATATTCATTTTTTGAAAGAAAGACATGTCATGGATTACGACTGAATCATCATTGCACTGTTTATAATTTTCATATTATAAACAATCAAAATTTAACTTTTACCATTATGATTGTGTCTAACCGTAAGCAATTAGTCCATCATAATTATTTCATAGTCATAAATGTCTTATAACAATTTATATATACTTTGTGAAAGAATTATTACCTCATTTAATAGTTATACAGAGTTTTTTTATCTGGATAGATGGAGCACTATTTTTATCCTAAGTACTTATACTAAAGTTCAGGGTCGGAAGCGGGGGCACTTGCCCCCCTAGGACCCCCAAGTCCTCCACTGTGTACATACATTGTTACTCATATTTCTAACCAACATCGGATCCTTGAAATTTGTTATGATTTATTTTTGTTTAACTTTTAAAAACTCCACTTTTATCACACTTCTTATTTTTGTCATTCATTATTTATTTATTTATTTATTTATTTATTTATTTATTTATTTATTTATTTATTTATTTATTTATTTATTTATTTATTTATTTATTTATTTATTTATTTATTTATTTATTTATTTATTTATTTATTTATTTATTTATTTATTTATTTATTTATTTATTTATTTATTTATTTATTTATTTATTTATTTATTTATTTATTTATTTATTTATTTATTTATTTATTTATTTATTTATTTATTTATTTATTTATTTATTTATTTATTTATTTATTTATTTATTTATTTATTTATTTATTTATTTATTTATTTATTTATTTATTTATTTATTTATTTTATTTAAAACTTTGGAGTGTCACATAACCGGTCAACCGGGCCGGTCTGGTCGGACCGGACCGGGTCCATGAGTAGCTGATAGGAAGGAGGATCATATCATAGCCTCTACGGCAGAGGTTGCCTCTAAACGTAGAGATGGCAACGGATAACGGGGATAACCGATTAACCGTATCCGCCCCGCTGGGTAATTCCTCTGATCCGCCCCGTAACCGCCCATTATCCAAGAGATAATTTTAATTCAAATCATAACCGCCTCAATGGATAACGGGGATAGTCGGGGGTAATCATGGGTTATCACTTTATTAAATGAGTCCTTGATAGTTTAATATAAAAATAATATTTTAAAATGCAAAAATTGGTATCTCTTAAAATTTGAAGATAACAACACATTCTCTTAAAGTTTGGTATCTTTCCGATATGGTAAGTATGGTATTAAGGAGATTCTGTATTTTTCTCCACCCGTGGACACTTGGACCGCAAACTTCTCCAGGACTCCATCCCATACATATTCTATCAAAATCATTATCCGCCATCAATAACCAATTCTTTCAATCTCACAACACATATCATCTCCTAGTAAAAGAACATTCATCAGATACGTGTGCATTGTTTCAATAATCTTCTTCAGTAAAATGACGACCAACGTGAGAGAAAATGACTATTCCAGCTTTGTAGTCTTCTCAACACTCATTCATTTAAGTAAAGCAAAATCTCCTTCCTTTTCCCACCAACCAACACCGGTAGCTCCAAATACTCCCTCTGTCCCTTATAACTTTGCTAACTTTCCTTTTTTGGATGTCCCATTAACTTTGTCACTTTACCTTTTAAGTAAAGAATTTGTGGTTCTAGTTAATTCTCTCTTCTCTGCACAAAACTCAACCACACAGTTTTTACTTTATTAATCCCCGTGCGGTCAAACTTGGCAAAGTTATTAGGGACGGAGGGAGTGCATCTTATTTCTATGCTCCTAATCCACACATAATATGGCACATAGCTCATCCCAAGAACTCGCCCCCACATTTGCATTGAACATAACACCTCTTATCAATGTTGATAACTTGCCCCAAACTTTACTCATAATACATATGAAAATTTTTAACCGCCACATATTCCTCATGTTTCGCTTTGATCGCCAAAAAATAAATGAGAGACCCTAAGAGCATGTTGGGCAACAGCTACCCGCTACCCCATGAATATTGCCCCACTTCTATTTTCCTAATCAATGCACTTAATCCCTGAGCCACCAATATGAACAAATAAGAAAATAAAGGGTCGCCATGTCTTAACTCGCGTTTGGATATAATAGGCCCTAGGGGTGGGCACGGTCCGGGACGGGCCGGGCTTTGGCTAATCCCGGTCCCGTCCCGGTTTTATAATATCGGTTCGGTACGGTTCGGGATAAGCCTTTGTCCTAATGTTGTCCCATTTAAATCGGGACCGGGACAACCCGAGAAAATTTGGTACGGTCCGGGACATCCCACAAAATCTGGAATTTTGAATTAAAAAAAAAATGGGCATAACATCGGAATAAAGGCACAACCATTACTGCACACCTAGCTTCCGTAAATAGCTAAAAAGATGCAAAAACTATATTTCAGGAGCAGTAGTACAAGGATGTCTACATTTCACAAATTTCAGAATTTTTTAACATATGATATTATGATACCAAAATCACTGCATTTCCAGTCTTCAAGTAGGAAGTTAGCAAAAGAAGAATCAAAAGCAAAACATGTTTACTGTTTACACATTTCAGAATTCTCAGAAGCAATTTAACAAATGTTTAGGCTTCTGAAATACAAGCAGATTGCGGACTTGGGTTTGAAAGTTTATTTGGGCTTTGGTATTAGATAGCATTAAAAATTAAAATAACCTAATAAATTGAAACGGGACACCGGGACGGGACGGGACATTTTATAGTTGTCCCGGTCCCGTCCCATTTGAAAACGGTTTGGGACCGGTTCGGGATGAAAAAAATGGATCCTAAATGGACCGGGATAGTTCCGGAACGGTACCGGGATTTTTCGGTTTGGGACACCGGGACCGGGATTTTTGCCCACCCCTAATAGGCCCTAGTAACATATTATCAAAAGGTATGTAATATGAAACCGAGGAAATACACTCGCGTTTCCATATTCTAGAAAATGTCACTCTACTATGTCGTACGGCTTACTAAGAGATAACTGGTCACCTTGTCTCAATCAAATTGTTTTTGCTGTCTCCAAAATATATGATGTTATTCAAGCAATCATAACATTATACGGAGTATTTTTTTATCCAGAAAAACTCAGCATCAATAGACATCATATTTTGTCTGCATAGTTCATGTAAATGGCTCCTGCTCACATCGATACGGGAATTTAAAACCAACACACCAATTGTTTCCCCACTTATCCAAGTCTTTACAATTAGCAATATGTTGCCAAATTTCACATCCTTTATGCAATTCCAAACTTTTGTGTATAATCTCCCAGCAGTCCTCCTCACATATCTAGATGTTCTCAAACTTCGTGAAATGCCTGTGTTGCGCATATCCCGGAGCTTGGACCCGGATCAGAAGCATAAGATGGTCACTAGCAATCCCTTCTAGCGACACAACTTCAGCCCCCATCCTCACCCCAACACAATTTTCCCAATCATCATTAGTCAGTATCCGGTCCAAGTTCACCCATGATGTTGTGGCTCTCCAACATCCCCTCTAATCTTCAAAGATTAGATGTTTTTTGACCCATGATGTTTTTTTTCCAAAGAGATGTTTTTTGAGCCAACTCCACACAGTTTCACTAAAACTGGACTACAGCCAACCGAGGTTGTTGCAATCCACCCCTCTTCTGGTTATTGAACATGATGTCATTAAAATCCTCCATTACAAGGCATGACAAATTATAGCGACCCGCTAACCCTCGAGGCAACAGCCACGACTCTGTTTGCCTATTGCGATTAGAGATCCCAGAGAACCCCGTGCACCTCCAAATTAAAGATACCATGTTAGGCACAGACCGCTTTCATAAATAACGATTTGCAGAGTCATACATCTCAACAATTAAAGAGGAAACTTGCGTCTAAATAAATTTAAACGCCTGAAGTAATTATTATGAATGAAATGACTACATAGCCTATAAAAGTAGGCTACATTAAGTTAAGATAGAAATAACCATATAGCGTAAACAAAATAGGTAAATTAAATTAATGGAGAGTACCTAGTATACATGAATGTGAGATTCATCACACAAACTATATCAGAAATCACATCAACAAAAGTAAGTTCCCACATAATGATTGGTTTTGAATTTTATATATCTCCATTTTTGGTTGACCATCTAAAAGTGATGGTCAATTGATAGCGACTTCTGTGATCCAGTGTACTAGACGCGTGGCTCGCCCGGTGATAGCACTGCACAGTGACTTAATGAGACTACTGCCTCAGCCCAAAAGCCCGTGACACTCCCAGTGAAGCCTTGGGACATCATTTGATCGCCCAATTATACTGCTCAAATCAACAATCGACCATGCCTCCAATGACACAACTTTGGAGCCACACCACAGTAGTCTGTTACCCCCCAAACTGGAGCATAGGTACTGACTTCATTGGACGGATACCCCATGAATCCGTCCTCAATATCTTGAAATCATGCAGAACCATAGCCATAATTTGTTCCCCAGCCACGCCGCCCCTTATGCTTGTTGAATTCAGAGAAGATGAAGATGTAAGTCGATTGTAGTTGACTCTAACATTGAGGTCTTCATGGTGGAGTCACCTTCACTGGTAGTGGAGTCGCCTTCACTGGTAGTGGAGTCGCTGTCTTCGCCACGGGTGGAGCCACATTCACTGGTGTTGGATTCATCATCACCCCTGTAGGAGCATCCCTCACATGGTGGAAGTCGATAAAGATGGCATCGGTTGAACGAGGATGAAGTGGCACTCTGAAACCTGTTCGCTGGCCTTTAAGGTTTCATGGGGAGATAGATATATGTGAGTATTTTGGTCCTTCTATCTTATTTAAGCCACTTATTTGTCGTAAATAAAAATTGGTCCTGTTTTTATCAATTGAAAAGGAGTAAAGGGTCAGTTTGGTCCTCGAAGTTGCAAAAAAGGGGTCAAATAAGTCCTTACATAGAAGATTCTGTCTGGACGTGCCATTTGAGGTGGCTCCCGGTGGTTTTTTTTGATAATTTTTTTTAGCATCTTATTCATTAAATCTAGTTTACTCATATCAAATTTAAGCTGAAAATTCAATCGGGAAGACATTCAAATGAATTCTTGAAGATAACTGCGCTTATAACAGCACAGTTATCTTCAAGAAATCATTTGAATGTCTTCCCGATTGAATTTTTATCTGAAATTTGGAATGAGTGAACTAGACTTAATGAATAAGATGGTCAAAAACATTCATAAAAAAACTCCACCGGAAGCCACCTCAAATGGCACGTCCGGACAGAATCTTCTTTATAAGGACTTATTTGACCCTTTTTTTGCAACTTCGAGTACCAAACTGACCCTTATCCCAATTGAAAAGTTAGGGTTCTACTTTTGTCAATACTTATTTTATAAAGTTAAGATTACAATTTTAATATGTCAAATGACTTCAAACAAACAACCTTCAAAATGGGTTTTGACCCAGTCAACTGATTTCTACCGAAGAATTTTGACTCGGTCATCTGAGTTTTATTAGTTAATCGACCAACTCGCACGGATTTGGTCGATTAACTAGTAAAACCCAATTGATGCAATGCATCATGTTCAGTAAAAACCAGTTGATCGAGAAATGTATAATTTGTTTTTCATTTATGCTTGTTTAATAAACTTCATAAAATTTTTTTAAAAAATACTTCCTCTGTCTCTCGTAATTTTGTCACCTTTCATTGTTTGATTGCCCCCAAAAACCTTGTCATTTTCCTCTTTTAACAATTGATTTATGATTCCTATTATTTTTTTTCTCATTTATACAAATCCCAACCACATTGTTTATAGTTTATTATTCCTTGAGTCGGTCAAACTTGACAAAGTTATAATGGACAAGAGTAATCCGTATGATATATCCGGAGTAAGTATGATTTTTTAAATCTACCACAGTCTGCCGCACGAGGATGGATCGGGTTTAGGGGAACATATACCTGTTCATGTCAAAACACATCACCGTACAAGATTAATACTACATTCGTACCGTTAAAAGGTTCTCATAGCAAAATGGCACGGTTATTTAGACATTAATTAAATATGGTAATTTAAGTATATTTTGAGAAATAATTTTGGTAGGTATATAATATAACAGGGTTAATGGTGATAAAAATGATGTTATAAATGTATTATTTTTAATATTTGATGATTAAATTGTCATTTAAGAGTGGTAAGTGGTTCCGAAAATAGAAATGTGAACATGGGATGTCCAGAAAAGGAAAACAAGAACCTTTATATGGAACAGACGGAGTATCAAGTAAGATGCTTGAGTATATATGCAATACTTCCAGTCTTCCAGAGTAAGATACATGCGTAGAACTTCCCAGAGTAAGAAGTCCAAGAGGTTTACCCCTCCACACGCCAACAGCCAACTAATCAAGCGGCGATTCAATTAACTTTGTCTCTATATTCAAAAAATGCAAAATTGGTATCAACTATCACATGTTCACAAAAACAAAGTAATATCCTATATGAATATTTTGAAATTCGTAAAACATTTGAAAAACATATTCACATTGCTATTACAGCAAAGTTTTACTAATGGCAGTGGCAAATTGTGTTGAAGGTCATGAAGCAAGCAAAACTTTTAGGCTGGAGACCAACTTATGTGGCAGTATTTACTGTCATCTTGGAGTCATTATTATCAAAATAGTTACAGTACTAAGCATTAATATGACATTAATGACACTAATTTTCAATCATGAAAGTAACAACTCATATTTCGGGATAAAAAACATAGAAGTTTTATTTTGGAATTTCAAAACATGTTTACTCTTATTTAGGGCAATTTCCCATACTTAAATCGTAAAGGCCTATCTCAAACTCCAATACTTGCAGCATTGGATACTCTTAAATGATTTTTAAAGTTGAATAGAAAGTCATAGTATTGTACCCATATCCATACAACATAGGACTCAACCAACAGTAATATAAAGTTAAATATTACGGAGTATATGTTAACACTAAAAAATAAAATTATATGGAATAAATAATTACTTCGTACTAATTTTAATTAGTAATTTTTTTGGATAGTAAAAGTAACCTTATCATTCAAATAATAAATAGTTTTATAATTAGCATCATTACATCATAAAAATTCTTTTTACTATAAATATCTTCTATTTATTTTTTGAAAAATAATACTATGTAATATTAATGGTAAATATACCCCTGAAAAAGTTTAATTGGCATGGAATTGAAGCAAAGTACCTAGAGAGTCGCTAGCAGAGAGCATTCTAGTTTGTAGATCTTTAGAAGCCTCGAACATCTCTTGTGCATCGTATGCCTTTATCATGGTAGCAAAGGTGATATTGTCTGGTCTGCAGTGTTTGACCTTCATTTTGAAGAACAACTCAGCCATCCTTTCTATATCACCAGCTTGGCCATAAGCATTGATAGCACAATTAAAAAATGTGGTATCCAAAACCACATCTGAGTTCTCTACTTGCCTCATAATTGAGTCAACCTTTTCTAAGAATCCGGCTCTACTATAAGCACTAATCAGAGAGCAATATGTGATTGAATTAGGTTTCATTCCCTTATGCTTCATTTTGAAGAAAAACTCTTCCATCTTATCGATATTCCCCACTTTGCCGAATGTCTCAATAACTATATTATAAGTCACATTTGTTGGAATATAGAACCGTTTCCTCATGTAATCAAGCACAAGTCCCATTTTTTCATATAGCTTCGCTTTCCCATAAGCCTTAATTAGTATGTTAAATGTCATGATATCAGGCTTTATTCCCATAAGCTGAAACTCATCAAACCACTTCTCCATTTTCTCAATGTTTCCACCATTACCATAAGACCCAATAACTGAATTTAAAGTGAATACATCAGGCAGGCTCGTGTCACTCTTGATCATCTCTAGCAAAGAGTATTCCATTTTCTCGAAAAGATTAGCTTTTCCATACCCATCGATTATAGTATTGTACGTCACATTGCTACATTGGATTCCAAAATATGACATTTCACCTAAAATTTGATCAATCATATCAAAGCGATGGAACTTTGTGCAGCATTTGATGAGTATTGAGTAAGTATAGACATCAGGCTTGCAATCCGAGACTGAATTCATATCATGAATCAAATGCAATGCTTCATCAACTAAGCCACTAAGACCATATGCACTTGCAAGTGCGGTGTAAACATCCACTGTTGGTTGAAGCCCATCTGACCTTAATATCTCAAAAAGTAAGCTGGCTTGATTTGGCTGCTTGCAGTTACCAAGCATTACAAAAAGCCTTGCATATGTCCTAGATCTTGGCTCATACCAATGTTGCTTACGGAGCAGACCAAAAATCTACAAATACGAAATTATTTTTTCATGTAGTCGTAGTCTTGAGTTTGAGTCTAATCGACAAGTGAGCTTTGAAATTAAAGAACAGAAAACTAGGTTTTATCAACTACTCCATCTCTAACTAAAGTTCATGTTTTCCTTTCGGTCAGTCTGAAAATAAACTTCTCTTTTGTTTATTTAGCAAAAGCAAAAAGGCATCATATTAGTACCATTATTATTCTCAATAACATATAGAAGGGCATTCTTGTAAGTCAAAAGCAAAACATTTGATTCATTAAAAATCACACAAGTAAAACTATGAACTTCTCTTAGGGACAGATGTAGTATATGGGTTTAAATTCCTATTCAGCCATGACAAAAAGCAATCTTTCTTCATTCCAACTTACTTAGCAGAAAAAACTTTCAAGTTGCGAGATATTACTTGGCAATACATACAAGGAGTTACTGTAAACATCCATTAGTTCTTCAAAGGGTCAAAGATATAGTCTTGGTTTCATCTAGCATGATCACTTCCTTGAGATCAGTGAAATAGAAAAAGTTTATACATTTCTATCCTATCGAGCATCTAGTTAATGAGTACCGCACATGAATTACTATGGACATAAAATAGCACATAATATAAACACGAATAACAGTATACAGAAAAATCATTAGCAAAGGGGTAAAGTAGTAAATATTTGAGTAACCTTTAGCGCAGACTCCCACTGGTTTTCCTTAATAGCATCATCAAGAGCCTCCAAGACAGCCTTCGGCCAGAGATTATTGTACTTGCTAGAGTTTGCTTTACTCTCAATAGCTTTGATAGCCGCCTCCGTTCGGAGAAGCCGGGAGAGATCCTTCTTGGAGCCTTTTCGTACTTCTTGTGAAGCAATCTCCGGGATAGACTTCGCTGCGAAAATTCTGAGGACTTTTTTACTCGTCTGATTTCTCAGTTCTTCAGGGAATTTCTTCGAATGGGTGAGCGGTGAGCCGAGAAAGACAGTGGATGAGGAGAAGAAACATACATTGCGCTCCATAGTTGTGCTGTACGCTGAAGTTTGAACCAGAGGGCTTTGCCGGCCGCGACAGGGATTACGAAGATCTGGATTCGGGTCGGTCCATGTCAACCCATTTTAAACGGATTCTTAAATTCTTGGTTCAGACCTCAGACCTTATCTACAATGAATCCGTTAATTTCAATGGTTGAATTGGGTATTTGACTATTTGCTAGCAACTAGTGAATAAATGATTACGATCTGCAGGGGTGATCAGGATCTACTATTTTAACCCACTATTTTATGCCTAGAATTTTTATTTTTTTGTAGTGTCAATTTAAAATTAAAAAAAAAAACTTATAAACCTGCATGTGGGGGAAAAAAATTTAGAGGTGTCAATTGACACCACACCTCAAAGGGTGGCTCCGCCCCTGACAATCTCGTTTGATTTTATACAGAATGAGCATGTTTGATAATGTCGAAATTTTTTAAGTTTGTTGAGATTATAGAAATTCTGCATGAATTAAATGAATATGCTGAATTATAAACAAATTGTGCTAATAAAGTAAAGAAAAAACTACACAAAAAAGTTAAAAAGGACTACTTCAGAAAAACCAATTAATTCAGATGTAAAAGCAACATTAGTCTAATTTCAAATATTAAAGAATTCTGCATGCAAAATTAAAAGTTTAGTAATTCCCCCGTCCCTTAAAACTTTGTCATCTTTCCTTTTTGGGACATCCCAAAAAAATTTGTCATTTTCCCTTTTAATCAATTATTTTGTGGTTTCTGTAGTTTCTCTCTCCTCCCCACAAACCTCAATCACACAGTTTTTACTTTATTATTCTCCGTGCCGGTCAACTTTGACAAAGTTTTAAGTGACGGAGGTAAGTATTATAGAGACTTGCATAATGGTTAGTCAAGATGCATGAGTGTCTCTTTGGTAAGACTTGCCTAATATAGAGACCACAAAACATGCATGAGTGTCTCTTTGGTAACTATTTTAGAATTTGCTAATCAAGATTTTTACAATTATTAAAAAAATTATTTCACGCTCTTAATTGAATAAATAATCAAAACAAGTAACTTTAGATTTAATTACATTTTTGTTGAATTTTCTAAAGAGAAAAATTGTAGCCATGCAAACATTGCATAATTTCTTTACTTGCGCCATTGTTTGTCTTCCAAACACATATCAAGATATCATGGTTGGATGGCTCTTCTAAAGAAATTTTGCTCTATTCTTTCTATATGCTCCCTCCGTCCAATTTTACTTGTCCTACTTTCCTTTTTGGATTGTCCCAAAATAAGTGTTCCCTTTCTTTTTTTGAAAAGAAATATGTGGCCGACACCATTTTATTTTATTATATTTAAACCTCAACCACAACTTTTACTTTTTCAACCACTATATTAATAACCGTGTCAATTCAAAATGAGACACATAAAATGAGACGAAGGTAGTATTTCGGTGATAACATAACAATGACATGTTCCACGACAACCATATATGTGGCTGCAGAAATAACATCTATTGTACATGTCATTGGATGAGAATTTACATGCTATCCATGTATAGAAGCTGTCATTCTTTTCGATTTGGACTTCAATTTAATCATATCTATTAAAAAAACCTTCATTTATATAATGTCAATCAGCAAAACCGCGCTAAACGCCATTGTTAGCAATTAGCATGTTTTCATTAAAGGAATTGATATGTACAACTCTACTCTTGGGTGCCTCTAACAATTTTCATTTTGGTGCCAAACAGTAAACATGCATATAAAATATACATGCATGACAATTGAGTAATTGACAATAATCATACAAAGATCACACAAGCACGCCAAAAGAAACCGCACATTTCTGGCTCATTTCAATCCATCACATACACATAAAACGATCAAATCAACAATCGTACAAAGATCCACAAAACCGAACTGTTTCTTTCCTTTCTCTCCCTCGTCTCCCCTTCTTCCTCAATTGACCCCTCTTTCCCAAGGAAATCTTGGACAGAGGAAGGAGGCTAGGAAGGGTAAGGGGATTATTGATTTGATATAATAATGGGGAAGTATGTGGAGCTTTTAGATTTGGGAATCAGATTGGTTTCCAGGTTCAAATCCCACTGTCCCCAAACTTCGGGAATGTATTACCACCCTCCCATCAACCATCACCGCCACGACAACCACCGCCTCTCTAACAACGACGACGTTTCAGCGTGCGTCGCCGACAATGGGGCGCCCTATCAGGTGGGACGAATTCGCCCACCTTCTAAAGATAAGTATGGTGGCGGTAATGATGTTTACACAAAAGATTTCATCTTTTTCTTCGGGTAACATTATGAAAATATATGTGTAGTCATATCTGACCTATGAAAATATCATATTTATTGTAATGTGATAACTTTTTGTTTATAAGAAGCATTTAAGGCCGCATCATATAGATCATGCATATCATATCAGTGATATTTTCTACTAATTTTTGTAATTAAGGTTTTGGTTCCCTTCTATAATATCAATCTCGTACTCAGTATCTTACAAACTTAGATTTGTGAATAGTAATGTGATCAACCAGAGGAAATTGTCAGTCGCTAATAATTGGATGTTGGGATCAATATGAAAAAAAAAAGTAAATGGATCAAGTCATTAACGTATATATCAATGCAGACTTTCATCAACTCTAGCATTTTTCTGAATTGCTCTATATTTGCGTGTGTTAAAGAAGATTCTATATTTCTATATTGTGTGCTACCGTTTAAGCATAATATGTATCAAGGGTTATACCATTTCAGCCTGATATTGGCTCTTAAACACTAATCGTGTTCTATATGGACAATGAAGTTACAAAAGTTAAAAACCAACCATTCACGTATACTACATTTGCTATTTATTATTTACAACAATTTGAATTTCAAATTATTCACATACTCTACTTTGACCATATTTTATTTTATAACTTCTTAAAAAAGCATATTATGAAATTGTCTTAATGTTACATTCACATTATGGAGTATATGATAATTGCAAAAGTTGTCTATTGAGAAATGTGAGAACTTTTGCCACTTCGTAAGAATGGAAGACGTATAACAAATGATCATGTTTCTCAACACTAGACGGGCTTATTTTAGAGAGATAAGTATATTTTGTATATTCATTTGATCCTTTCTTCATAGAATTAAAAGAATTTATAGAATAAAATGAGACATAAATTTTCAGACGATCGATATGATCACTTTGTCAGAATTGACACTCCCTGGAAACAAGTGACGTGATCCTTCAGGATAGCTTGCTGATGTAGGGTCGCTTATTCAGTAAGAAGATCATGAAAAGATATCTTAGATGTAGCTTCTTCATCTAGGGTCGTCGTGTCCATGTATTCCTCTGATAAGCTCCCGCTAGTTGAAACTTATTAAGAGAATACTCGTACACGATGACATCCGTGGTAATAATACTTTATCCAGGGACGTCATCGTGTACGAGTATTCCCTTGATAAACTTCTTCTATTATGTCCAAGGTCTCCATGGACACGCCTCCCTTGGAAAAGTTCACCATGGCATCCAAGTTTACCTTATATTCTCTGGTCTTCTACCATCTCGCGTTCATGATCATCGTGTATGGACTCTATTATCTTGTGTCCAGGGCCATCTATCATCGTGTGTCCATGTTCCTCATGTACATGTTCTTTCTCAGGCTTCTCAGGGGTGGAGACAGGGAGGGGCTGGAGGAGGCCTCGGCCCCTGCAAGAAAAAAAATTCTTAAGTATGTATTATGTATAAATACTTTTAATCTATAAGTTGATATTTTAAACTTTGGCCCCTGCAATGTAAAATTGTTAAGGATCGGCCTCCTCAATCATACATTTCTGGCTCCGCCATTGCAGGCTTGCTTACCTCATGTACATGTAGTCATGTTCCCTAGTCCGGACATAGTCACCATGCTTGTATACATACAACCGTCCAACAATTTTTATCAATATTCATCCTGTACAGATTTCATCATGCTCGTTGGTAATTATATCATCAGTGAGCATATACAAATGGAGCTTCTAAGGATACGGGCTTTATTGGATATATATACTAAAGCTTGTTTGTCGAGGATTTATGTGTTGACTTAGAGCCCTCATTTTACACAAACAAATTCTCTCACAAGTCACATTTCATTTCAAAATGGACAAACAATCCAAATACTCGGTATATTATTGTGTAGATGGAGCAGACAGTATCCGGCCATGCATTCTAATTCTAATATAATCAACAGATCAACACCATCCTCAAATGGTACTAGTACATGTGATTTATTATTTATAAAACCATAAGCTGACATTCCACCCTGGGCTTCCACGTGTATCATTTGGCAGGAAGAGGGAAAGAAGCTTGTGTGGCAATCCCACAAATTCCTTCAGGAACACCATTATCCTTGAGCAACCTTAAGTACCCCTGCTCTCCCCAATTCGGCCCCCATGAGTTCTTGATGAGCCAATACTTCGTCCCGGCGGGGTCTGTCCCATACCCGATCGCCGTGACTCCGTGGTTGATTATGGTCGAACAGGCGGCAGTGAAAATCCCCCCAGCATAGAACTGCATCTCTTGTCCGGCGGCGTCGATGGACACGGACACCGGCTGATGCGCCACGGCCTTCATGAGATCTGCCTCGCTGTTCTGGGGAACGTTGACGAAGCCGCCGAGCCTGGCTGCCATGGCGGAGGCCTTGTTCTGCTGGCAGGGCCCTTGCGCCATGACGTACGGGTAGTTTTCTTCTGTGGTTATGCCGTTGTTCTCCGTGATGTACTTGAATCCGGCTTGCATCCATCCGCCGTTGCACCCGTGACTAATATGGTCACAGTCCACCAGCTGCTGCTCCGATAATGAAATCAGTTTCCCGGTGGTAATCTTGGTGAGTCCCTCTGTCGCCGCCACGGTGGAGAATGCCCAACAACACCCTGCATTTTTATTTATATATAGGGCTCCACTCACTATAACGTTTCTAACATTCCAAAAATTGAAAATTAACTAAAATAGAATTAAAATTAGACCAGAACAATATTTGTTTTAAAATAGTGATCAAAGTATTTTTGTTATATCTTGTATTCCTATTGTGTACGAATGAATGATCCGTACTACTAGGAGTGGAAACAGGTTGCGCTCGGCGGCCGAGCCTGTTTAAGTCTGAGCTTGACCTGGTACTTGGTAAAAGCTTGTTTTTCAGTCTAAACCTACAATGTTTAAAAGGTTGCCTTGAGG